GTAGCCCAGGCTGGAGTGCAGTGGTGTGATCTCAGCTCACTGCATCCTCTGCCTCCCAGGTTCAAGAGATTCTTCTGCCTCAGCCTCCCTAGCACCGGTGTACCCACACATAGTTAATTTTTGTATTCTTAGTAGAGATGGGATTTACTATGTTGGCCAGGCTGGTCTCAAATTTCTGACCTAGTAATCTGCCTGCCTGGTCCTCCCAAAGTTCTTGCATTGCAGGCGTGAGTCACCGTGCCTGGCTGAATCCTGCCACCTTTCTAGAGCTGTTGTGTACAATTTCCTGAAACACAAAAGGAGATAAATGGAAAAAATCAAGTATGTATCTTGTCTTAATTTTTTAATTTTCTATTAAAACCAGTGCTTGCAGAGACTTTACATTTAGCAACTTGTTTTCTATTCCTCCAGATCCGGCAGTTGTTAAAGCAGTAACAAGAAAATAAACATAAATACAATAATAATTTCTCTAAACTACCTTAACCTCTTCTTTTCTGTATCTCTCTCATCTGACTATATTTAGCTTTTATTCTATACATTTTTTAAACAACCAATGATAGAGAAACAGAAAAGTAAATAAAAATACTAGGCCCTTCCTTTATCTAAATAAGGGGAATTATTAGACACATAGTACCAACCCCAGTGTGTTATGCAGATTAAATCTCATAATATGTTATTCCTAGCACAGTTCTTTGTAACATACATTTGATCACGTAGTACTTGCTTAATAAACATTGTATTAATACCTGTGTACATGCTGTTTTCCAAATGCAGACTTATTACTTTCTCCTAAAGATCCAGCAAAAAATATGATATTGTAGGATGGAGATTGATTGTCTTCATTTGCACCAAAATTATATGTGTTGTGACAAAAGTGTTGAGCGTGAGGGATTCTGTGCTGTGCCTGTTTTCTCAAATTAATTCTAATGATGAGGCCAGGGGGAGCAACATCAGCATTGGCAGTGGACTTGATTAAAATACACACTTATGGACCCTTTGCAAACCTCCGGAATCACATTACCTAGAGTGGGGCCAAAATTACCAAGAGATGTATAAGGTCATTCAAACTTGAGAGGTAATTCTTAGCTAAGTGGTTATCAGCCCAGGCTTCTAATTAGAATTACATGGCCAATTTGCAGAAATCTCTTTACTTGTGTTTATGGGCGAGAGAAACTGGGAAAAACAGGTTCTTTCATTTACTGGGTGTTTGGCAAAATATTATTATTAGGCCAAAACCAGTTACATTACTGGTGAACTTAATAGAAATTCAGAAATCAGTCTTTATTTCTAATCTTCTGAAAAAAATAATCTGCAAGACAAGGTCTCCAGTTCATTGTACACATTGAAATTTGAGGGGTATCTTCTAACTTAACATGTCTTTTCCATCTGAAAAATATGCACAGCTCATTTTGTTTGATGCAAATACAGCACTTAAAAATGTACATTTGTGTTTATGCCCTGAATTTTATACTTTGTAATCCAGAAAACTATTATATATATGCTGATGTTGTGGATTATGCCACTCTCTTTACACAGAGCTGGAGAATATATTAGAATGTATTTCTGTGTTGAGAACTATTTTATAATTCAGTCCTATAAGTTAGAAGCACTTCTTTTTACTCTCATTTCATCTTGAGTCAAATTAAAACTTCTGCCCATGACCGCTTGATAAATTGTGTGTGTGTGTGTGTGTGTGTGTGTGTATTTATCAGGGACCATTGACATTTATGGATGTGGCCATAGAATTCTCTCTGGAAGAGTGGCAATGCCTGGACCCTGCACAACAGAATTTATACAGAGACGTGATGCTAGAGAACTACAGAAACCTGGTCTTCCTTGGTGAGAATAACTTCAATACGCATTCATAATATACCCTAAATGTTTTATTCTATTTTATTTGTAAAATGTTCTTGGTAATTTTTGCTTTGTATAAATAAGTTTAAGATTCCTGTTTTGAAAAAATTTTTGGAAATTTGTTTAGAGAGGAATATCTTCAAGATGTTTCATGTTGATCTGAATTTTCCACATTCCTGAGCTGATCTGTATTTTTTACTGTAGATTATTGGTAATGACAGAAAGTTGGTGGCTTAAAGTATTGTTTCCTATACCTTAAAATCTAATTACCACCACCAGTTATTTTGTTTGTTTGTTTGTCTTGTTTTATTTTTGAGATGGAATCTTTCTCTGTTCTCATGCTGGAGTGCAGTGGTGCAAGCTTGGCTCACTGCAGCCTCCACCTCCTGGGTTCAAGCAGTTCTCCTGCCTCAGCCTCCTGAGTAGCTGGGATTACAGGCACACATCACAACCCCCAA